TTCCCACATCCCTGCCAACACGTTGACTTTTTTTATTATAGCCATCTCCATGGGTATGAAGAGGTTTTGATTCGATTTCCATAGACTAATGTTGAGCATCCTTTCATGTGCTTATTGGTCATTTGTATATCTCTTTGGAGACATTTCTATTAAAATCTTTTGCCTTTTAGCCTGGCCAGCTCAGTGGTTGAGTGTCGACCTATGAACTAGGAGGTCACGGTTCGATTCTCAGTTGGGGCATATGCCCAGGTTCTGGGCTCGATCCCCAGTGTGCGGCATGCAGGAGGCAGCTGATTGACAATTCTCTCATCACTAATGTTTTTCTCTCTCTCCCTCTCCTTTCCTCTCATCAATAATAAATATATTTAAAAAATCTTTTGCCCTTTAGAAAATTGGATTAGTTTTCTGATTATGGTTCAATGGTAAGAGTTTTTTATAGAGTCTGGATACTAAATCTTTATCAGATATAGGATTTGTAAAAATCCTTTCCCAATCTTTGGGTTATTTCTTCACTTTTTAAATAGTGTTCTTTGAAGCACAAAAGTTTTAAATTTTGATGAATTACAATTTATTTTTTCTTTGTACTTTTGGTATCATGTCTAAAAAAACTAATTCAAGGTCACAAAGATTTCCATCTTTGTTTTCCTCTAAGAGTTTTATAATTTTAACTAGAGGCCTGGTCAAGTGCACAAATTTTTGCACTCATGGGGGTCCCTCAGCCTGGCCTGCACCCTCTTGCAATCTGGGAGCCATCAGGGTATGTCCGATTGACCGGGAGCAAGTCTAAGTCAGCCGTCAGACATCCTTAGTGCTGCTGCGGAGGTGGGAGAGGCTCCCAACACTGCTGCTGCCCTTGCCAGCCCTGAGCCCAGCTTCTGGCTGAGTGGCACTCCCCCTGTGGGAGCACATTGACCACCAGGGGGCAGCTCCTGTGTTGAGCGTCTACTCCCTGGTGGTCAGTGCATGGCATAGCGACTGGTCATTCCACCGTTTGGTCGATTTGCATATTAGGTTTTATTATATAGAATATATATATAGTAGTATCTATACTAATAAAAAGGTAATATGCTAATTAGACTGGGAGACCTTCCAGACGTTCTTCTGGACTAAGCCATGGTGGCGGGGCCGAGGTAGAGGTGGATAGAGGCCAAGAGGGGTGGGAAGTTGTGGGTGATATATAATAGTACATATATATATGTCTTAATTTTTTTTACCCTCACCTAAGGATATGTTTTCTCTTTTTTTTTTTTTTGAGAGAGAGAGAGAGAGAGAGAGAGAGAGAGAGAGAGAGAAACATCAGTGTAAGAGAAAAACATCCATTGGTGATTCCTGCCCCAACAACCAGGGATCAAACCTGCAACTCAGGTATTTGCCTGGACCAGGAATCGAACCTGCAGCCTTTTGGTGTGTGGGATGACACTCCAACTGAGCCAGGGCAATATAAATCTTGATTTTTCTATTTTATATATAAACACATGTATATATTTATATGTATATAGTGTATATGTATGTATGTATATATGTACATATGTGTGTATATATAGAACAAAATATCAAGGTTTTTAATGAAAACAGAATCAACCCTGTACTTGCGTGACCCTGACTCCTTCACCACATCCTGATCCCAGCCTTTGTCCCCTTAAAACTTGATTTCAAAAACAGACAGTTCGCCTGGGCTGTAGTTTGCGGTGAGAATTTTTTTTAAATGTTGCATTTTAACATTCTGTATCTCGATTACTGACTTCGGACACACCCCTACGTCAGACACCCCCTTAAGCGTGTGTGCCTCATCCCCCTCACCCGAGTCTAGCTGAGGCTCAGAGCAGGTGCTCCCTCCAAGCCCCCCCCCCCCCTTCCCAGCCGAGGAGTCACCTGGGTGTGTGTCGGCGGGAATGTGCCACGACTGGTTGGGGCCGGGGCCAAAGCGATTCCGGGAGACGACAGTCAGGTTGTAGGCAGCACCCGAGAGGCTGAGGGTTCGTTTCAGGCGCAGGGTCTTGGCTGCCTGGGGCTTGCACGGGCAGGACAGCATGTGCAGGTGGAGGTCGTAGGTCACCTCGGCGCCGGAGTCAGGCCCACGGCAGCCTTCGGGGAGCTGGAGCCGGGACGGCTGTCAGGAGTGGGAGAGACGGCCTGTGGGGATCTGAACACGTTCATTGTCCTCATGGGCCAGCATCAGGGCAGAGCCCGTGGCCACAGCCTGTGACATGGGCCACAGCCTGTGACACAGGCCAAAGTGTTAACAATAAATAATAAACCTCGATGCCAGCAAGGCGTTCGCATCCCATGCACGGTGGTTCTGTCTGTTTGCTTTGGCTTTGTGGGGGAGTGACTTGGAAAAACCCACTGAGAGCCAGGAGAAGGACGTTTCCATTTTTGGACCCAGTGGCCTCAACCCTGGAAATTTTTCCCAAGAAAAGGGATTCAAATGAGAGGAAACCCGGGAAGCAAAGGAGTCCCATGTAGACGTATTGTGATGCCCCCTGGGGACCTGCTGAGTCAGTGACGGTGAAATGTGTCGGCTTTTGCCCCTGACTCCGGGTATTAGAACCAAATTTTTAATCCTTACCCGAGGGTACATTTACTGATTTTAGAGAGAGGGGAAGGGGGAGGGAAACATCAACGTGAGACAGAAGCATCAGTCGATTGCCTCCCATGTGCGCCCCAACCGGGGATTGAACCCAAAACCTAGGTATGTGGCCTGACCGGGAATCGAACCCACAACCTTTCGGTGTATGGGACGACACTCCAACAGAGCCACACCGGCTGGGGCAGGTAAGACATTTTCCCTCTGCGCCTTAGTTTCCTTCTCTGTAAAATGGGGTTAGACCAGGGGTGGGCAAACTTTTTGACTCGAGGGCCACAATGGGTTCTTAAACTGGACCGGAGGCCGGAACAAAAGCATGGATGGAGTGTTTGTGTGAAATAATATCAATTA